GTATAACATGGTAAATCCAGTTAAATGGGTCTCGTAATCCCATATTGAATTGAATTTATCATTTAAAGTGATGTGTTACATCATAAACTAATATTACAATATAAATGATGCTACACAGTATTATTCTTTTATTGAGTTTATCATTTAGTGTCACGTCACATAATGATCATTATCAATGATGAAAAATGTTAACGCTAAATGTTATTACTCCCTTTGTCTCGTTTATATAGGTTGGTTTTATTCTCACATGGATTAAGAAAACTTATTTATTGCTATTGAAAAAGTAATTTTTGACAAAAGCTTTTCCAGTCTACCTTTACTTATATTTATACAATTTCAAGATTAAGCAGAAAAAAACAGTTATAATTAGGCAAATTAAATAAAGGTATATTAGTAAACAAACAAAACAAAATATTTTCAATAAATAAATAGGACTTTATAATTGGAGCAAAAAAATAAAAAAAGTCAACCTATATAAATGAAACGGAAGGAGTAATAAAGAATGCACACCATATGTCATAACTTACGAAGCAACAAAAAGATACTCTCATATCCTTCTTTTAGCTTTTCTAATCTTTTATTATTAAAAAAAATATAATTTCAAGTCTAATTAATTAAAATAAATCATTTTATGTTTCACTAATATTCCTATAATAAAACATATATCATCGTTCCATAGGTCACACAATAAAGATTATTCAAATAAAATTTGATATTTTTTATACCATATTAAAATGGAGAATTGAGAAACGAAATTGTTGCAAGTCTAGTGCATAATATTTCAATATTTTTTCACTATATGAACTATGCTTTTATTTTGTAATTTATAAATTTTGAAATTTTAACTACCAGATTGTGTCCAAATCTAGAACTGTTTGATCTAACAGTTAGATGTGCCATTTGTAGCAATTCAGAATCCTATTCAAATAGTTTTGAGTCTCTTTAAGAAGTTAGTGTTCAATTTTTTCAAGCTTCTAAAAGTTCGTTTTAAGGAGTCTTGTATCATGAAAGACAGACTCAATTATTTATGAGTTTCTTAAAGAAGTTAGTGTTCAATTTTCTGAGCTTCTAAAAATTCATTGTTATTCCAATGAAAGAATAGTACAATAAGAATTAAGTTTCGATTGACAAAGTTGTTGTATTGCTATAAAATACTTGGAAGGAGTCTTGTATCTTGAAAGACAAACGTTCAATTATTCTATTAACACCAGTTAATACAATGTCCTAAAGAATTTTGCAAGTTACATACCTTCGTGATCTTCTACTTCAATATCTACTTTCAGTTTTTCTAAGATGTTTATCCTTTAAAAATAAATAAATAAATAGCATTGTAATCGTGTAACATTATTGCATCCCTTATTAATGAGAGTTGTAGTCATTAATTTCTTCCTATCTTTTCATTTAAAAAAAACTGAAAATTGATTTGTATTTGCCACGTCCACCCTCATTCCCATATATAAACCTCCAGCCCCTCCATTTCTCATTCACTCAAATCACCTGGAGATGCATTAGTCTTTTATTACAGCAAATTATACCAGCCTATAAAAAGAGCAAGACAAAGGAAAAATGGAGATCGCTGCATTCGTTGTTTCCATATTTCTATTTCTTGTTGCTGTATTTTCCTATGCTAATTCTCTTAGAAAGAAAAGGAGAAATCCTGAGAGAAAATCTAAACTCCCTCCTGGTTCAATGGGGTGGCCTTATATTGGAGAAACACTTCAACTTTATACTCAAGATCCAAATGTATTTTTCTCTGATAGACAAACAAGGTTTTTAAACTCTTTATCCTCTCTCTATGGCCTTGTCACATACCATGATCTGTTATATTGTTTTTCATTACTTGAGGAATTTTTTCTTCAGGTATGGAGAAATCTTCAAGACTCATGTACTTGGTTGCCCTTGTGTCATGTTGGCGAGCCCGGATGCAGCTCGGTTTGTGCTTGTCACGCATGCACACTTGTTCAAGCCTACTTATCCCAAGAGCAAGGAAAATCTTATCGGCCCAAATGCACTGTTTTTTCACCAGGATGAATACCATATGCTCCTCAGAAAATTCGTTCAACGCTCCTTGTATCCAGAAGCTATTCGAAACCTGGTGCCATATATTGAAGCCTCAGCAGTTTCTGCATTGAATTCATGGGCCAATGGTCGTGTTGTAAACACATTCCATGAGATGAAAAAGGTTTTTCTCTTACAATGAAGAGAGTTAAACAGATCTTAGATAGAATTTTCAGTATTTTTTTCCTTATTTGTTTTAACTGGTATTTGTATCTAATTTATGTCAATCGCTGTATTCCTGCAGCTCTCTTTTGAAGTTGGTGTACTTGCCATTTTTGGTCATTTGGAGCCCCATTACAAAGAAGAGTTGAACAAAAACTATGTCATAGTAGATAGAGGTTATAATTCTTTCCCGACGAATTTACCTGGAACTGCATACCAGAGGGCAATGAAGGTAAAGTTTTGCTATTTATAATTTTAATTTGCATAAATCATTTACAAAATCGCAACTATTTTCACTTCTTGTGCTTCAATATTGAAGGCAAGGAAAACGCTGAGTGAAATTCTAAGATCGATTGCTACAGAAAGAAAGGAAACAAAATTAGTCGAGGATCAGGACCTGTTAAGTTGTCTCCTGAGTTCGAAAGATGAGAAGGGTGTGATTTTAAACGAGGATCAAATTGCTGATAACATCATAGGAGTGCTCTTCGCTGCCCAGGATACCACAGCGAGTGCTATGACATGGATTCTCAAGTACCTCTACGATAACCCCAAACTTCTCGAGGCTGTTAAGGTAAGATCTACAGGTGGACTCACGGTATTGGGACACGTTTTTTTTATCTTAATTATGTTTAATTTTCCATTAGGCGCATTTAATGATTGCCGGTTTTTGTGTTTGGAATAATGTATGCAGGCTGAACAGAAGGCAATATACCAATCAAATGGCAATGGAAAGAATAATTTGACATGGAATCAGACAAGAAATATGCCAATTACTTACAAGGTATGGTTGACTGTTTAATTGATAATAAACTATTAACTTGACTATATGGGTACATGCAAGTGAAGCCAAAGGTGCTCGTCTTTTCTTCTATATTTTTCTCAAAAGGAAGAATTTGCACATTTTGCTGTTGAATATGCTCTTCACATTGCACAGTGATTTGAAATTAAACCTCCTTAACAAATAATGTGATTATTCAGGTGATTTTAGAGAGCTTAAGAATTTCCAGCATTATTTCTTTCACATTTAGAGAGGCAGTGAATGATGTAGAGTATAAAGGTAGGTTCCCTCTTAAATGAACACTTAAATGCAAATATATGATTGTGCGCACGTTTGTTTACGACCTATGAATAAAAAATATATATATATAATATTTGGTTTCAGGTTATCTTATTCCAAAAGGTTGGAAGGTTATGCCTTTGTTCAGGAATATTCATCACAATCCAGAGTTCTTTCCTGATCCCCAAAAATTTGATTCTTCAAGATTTGAGGTACCAGTTTATTGTACCAACATGTTGGTTAGATCTATAATTTGCAGATTAAGGCTATTTTCATTTATGTTCAATATAGGCTGCTCCAAAACCCAATACATATATGCCATTTGGCAGTGGAGTACATGCCTGCCCTGGTAACGAATTTGCCAAACTAGAGATGCTCATTATGGTGCACCACCTAGCTTCTCAATTCAGGTGTTCTTCTAAAACACATGACTTCATAATTAGAATGGCGTCTTCTGTTTTTCACTGTAATGTCTTCTTAAGCTAGTTTCAAGTGCTGCATTGTTTAATATCTGACAGTAGCATTTTGCTGTGTTTGATAATTGTGGTTTTCAGGTATGAAGTGGTGAGACCTGAAAATGGAACCCAGTATGGGCCATTCCCAGTCCCTTCACATGGTCTTCCAGCCAGGTTTTGGAAAGAAGAATGGACCAATTAGGTCATGCAGCATGGCCTCAGCTGATAGCATAGGATGTCATTTTTCATTTTCTGCTCGTTTTTTTCAACTACATTCCTTTGAACTCTTGTGGGATGAATGATTCCACTTTTTCTTTTTTCCTTTCACAGTAGGTTTTCTTTATATTAAACAAAGACCTCCCCATTCATGTCTCCATCATCTACAGCTAGCAATTGGTACCATTTCACATTGAAGGAATAGATTTGAAAATGTCAACGTTAGAAAAGGGCAGATTTTGAATCATGAGCCGAATTTTTCCTTTTCTTGACTTGGGAAAAAGTAATTGTTGGAACCTCACTTTCTGCTGGTCCTCCATTTTTTGGTTGGGTGATGGCTACATCGTGCCATACGTTTATGCAAGGTGTCGAGCATTCTTTGCCTATCCCATAATGCGTTCTTGTTTTGAGAGGCTAACAGAGAACCAGGTGGTTAGTCTCTAATTGGTCGAGCGAAAAGGGGGAGAACACATTACTTTCTCGACTGCAGTTTAGGCCCCTGAGTGTCTCTTGCGTTCTTGAAATTCTTATTACACCTATATATGTCAAATCTCTGCGCACAATGAATGTGTATCCAACTATTTATGAATTCATGACTTCCTAACTGAAGGTATAGGTTGATGCAAGAAGCGAATGGTTGGATATTCATTAAGAACAGAGAATGGGTTGAAAAGTACTAAACAATAATGTTAAGTTAATGTTATCATTCCAATTTTCAAGACATCCTCATTTCCAACCAAGACTAGGATTATAGACGCCTCTGTAAAGAATCGTACAGGACTACAGGGAAGAATTTCACATTCAAAAATGGAAAAAGTGAGTAATATTTTTTACATTTTCAAATAGGAAGAAATGTATGTATGTTGTATACTGAGTTAATGGATCATATTTACAAAAATCATAATTAAAATTTACTTAAGTCTTTGTACGTGTATATTCTGTTAAATCATAACTATACTCAATCTGAAAATTGAATTTTTCGATTGACTGGCAAGTAAATTCATACATTCCACAGCTAAACGGCAACTAAAAATAATTCAAAAAAGAGTCAATGAACCAAACAGTATATTATATTTCTTTTTATTATATACCATAGCAATACAAAGGAGGAGGTTTCCATTACTTGTCAATAAAATTTTCCTTCCGCAGAAGTTAATTAATAATATATGAAGGATGCCACACGTGACAAATATTCTTGAACACAAATTTCAATTATAACACTGTGACTGAAGAAGACAGAGTTTATGACAACCAGATTGAATCAAGCTTCCTGAGAAGTCAGGGCTGAATATTTGAGAATGGCATCAAGTATTCGTTCTTTATCTCTGGTAGGAAAAGCTTCCAATAGGACTCCATTTTTGTAAAAATGAAAAAGGGGAACCGACTGCATCAAATCAGTTTATTTCAGTTAAAGAAAAGAGGATGAAGTGAAGAAATCACATATGGCATATAGGCTATGCATAGATGTGCAGTAGTTGTGAAAACATTGTGGTAATCATTAGAAAGAATTTCGAATGAAGTTTAACAAACGGGTAACATTTTTCACTTCATTTTTTTTTATCAATCCTCAGCTGATACTATTATCGCAACTCGGTTCTAGGAACAAGGCTTGTATATGCATGAGCTGAAAGAATTTCCAAAACCTAAAATCCAAGTAAAAGGCACTAAGAGATATTTACCCTAATTCGCAGCCGATCAGCAACATCAGTTTGTTCGTCATATTCATCAAGTACCTGCAGAAATAGGAAACCAGGAAAGTTCATAAATTTTCTTCTTTATAACACATCTTGTTCCTGGCTATTATTAGCGATGAAGATAGAATCACTACAATACTAGCCAAAAAATTTCAAGATCCACGACAAGAATTCTAAGAACAGCATAGAAATGGAAAAGTAACTTCTTTACACTTATATATAGACCGACACATCAACAGTTCCCAAATTTTACGTGAGGCAATACGTCCTCAAATTCAACTTTAAAATGAAATTTGGATTCAATTTGGATTAATAATCCGTTTTATTTCATTTTATCTTTTTCCCGACCTTCAGAAGAATAAAGTCCTCCTATCGTTAGAATTTTTTGAAAGGTAAATATCCCCGTTTCATATATAAATTTCTATAGAAGAGACACTTACATTGTGCTTTAAGAATATAACTGGGGCATCTTGATCACCCGATCCTTTGCATAATTTTGCAAAGCCCTGCTCTATGTACTTGCAGCTTCCACAAGAAGTTCGATAAAAGTCCACAACAACTAACGAATTGGATTCTTTGGCTTTTTCCAGAATTCTGAGAAATTCCTCATCAGTCTTAAACTCTCTTACGCATTCAACTGGACAGAGCTCTTCATCATCATCAGATAATTCTTCGACGTTTTCGTCAGGCATACTTTCGATTCCAAATAATCTTGGCACAAAACCTTTGTTCATTACGAATATAATCCTATTTCCAGTTTTCCATTGAATTCTTGCTTTCAAGTGACATGAGTTAATGATACTTCTATCCTGAAGCAAATTTCGCAATACAGCTGGAAGTCCAGAATCCAGTTGCCGATTGATATTTCTCATAAAATTGAAAGAAGACTTCTGGTGAAGAGTCTTCATGTGTGCCATATTTTAGGGTTAAGGAATTGTCAGAGAAAGATTTAAAATGCACTAAAAGGCTATTCCACATGGTACAGCAACAATTCTTCAAGAATTTATCATGTCATATCTGATAAATAAATCTACTGCTTTTAACTATCATGACAATCCCAAGCAATCTCTGTACAAAAAAATGCCACCTATTTCAATAACATGAGTTGGTAAATATTAAAAAGGAAATAAGACCAGAAACAGCAAAAGATCCATTAATAGTATTTAGCGTATAGAATATGACTTCTGATAACTGCCTAATAATATAACGAACAATTTTACCCCGCGGAATGTAGAAGCACTTCCGTAAATTCTCAGAGATTCGCCCAATTCAACTAATAAGCGACAAAAAGTACATCTCAGACTTATTTCTCCCTGTAACTCCCCACACTACCCAAATTTTATATCTTTGTTAGGAGGACCAGCAGAGATTGAAGTACAGGTGGAATATTAATTTAATGAGTGATGCCTGTAAATCCTGTTACCTTTAACAACATGCCTATGCTGTTCAAGATTTGGTAAGAACCATACCTATCTGATTTCGATCAATATGAATGTCAAAAGTAAATTTACTCTTTGTTAATAGAATTCAATTAAAAGTTCCAGCCTTAGGTTTAAATTCTAAGCCAGAAAATGTCTCTCTTGTTCAATATTTTCATAAATTCTGTAAAGGCTTACTCATGAAAACAATTAGGTACCAATACAACATAATGCAAAAAGTTCATCCCAGATTACACCAAATAAAAAATAAAATAAAATCCAAGAATTACACATAACAGCAATTTACTGGCAAATCCAACGCAAGAAGCAATGACAGATTATACAATCAAGAAACAAAAATGCTGTCCAAATATAAAAGAGATTTAGAAGGAAACACAAGCAAGTTTAATGTTAATGATGGGATTTAACATTTGTATAGTTTAAGGAGAGATTTTAGTTACTTGGGATCTCTGGAATCGCGCGCGATTGCGAAAAACGGAAGCAGTGGATGAGGAAAAGGACATGAAGGGCCATTATTCTTCCTGGTTGCTGTGTTCAGCTATTGAATTTTCAAACTTTAATCATATTGCAACTAGCCTCCCCATCTTACTCTAAATTTCATATGTTCCCCAAATTTATTGCCTACTGCCATTACACTAAATTGTTTACACTATACTGCCATTGGTAAACTTAATTGAATGTTAATCACTTACTTTAAATATCTTGATTTAATATACTTTATAACACCTTCACATGTTAAAATGTACACTTAATATGTTTGCATAACAGGGTGGTTTTCTCGGTGTTTCAAATTACGACTTGTTGCATTAGATACAACGTCTGACATCTTATTTTTACTTTATACCAATGAGGCCTTTTTTCTAACATTATTGAGTTGTTAGAGGAACTCGATAGTGGTTCATGTTGTTTTGTTCTTCGTAATGGAACTGTTTCGCACGGGTTCGTCGCTAACAATTAAAAAAGGGATCAGACGATTGTGTAAGGAACAAATCTCTTGAAACAAAATCCCAAAAAAGGGTGTTCTTTATTGGTGATGACTTTATAATTGAAAATTAAAAAACAGAATGCCTCCAAAGAGCGCAAGCACACGAGTTACTGAAAGAAAGTGTTTAAATCTAAGCTAAGAAATCTAAAATTACATGTTCTCTGTTCGAGAGTTTTTGATTCGGTCACTTTGCTCTATGTCTTTTCTTCCTTTTATATTCTCTAGACGATCTTTTCGTGATCAACCGCCTAAAAACTGCTTGATTATTCCATAACTACCCACTTTCCTCGTAATGGCCAACTTGTTATGGAATTGCCTTTTTTTTAACCGCTGCCATTACTCCTTTATCGTTCAACCGTCTTCAATTGAATTCTTTGAATCGTGGAACGTGATAGGACTGTTTAATAACTGCTTTAATAACTGTGCTTCTTGATAACCATAACACTTCATGTTTGCTAAGACCTTGGGCGATTCAAAGGTTTGGGCGACAATAGAGTAGCAGCTCTGGGCGACTGCAATGCACTCCATCCGCTCAAATCCTGGGCGACTTGCAAGCTTGGGCGATGGTGCTACTGCGTTCGTGGGCCTTCCTATTTGGGCTTTCATCCTGGATTGTCTGATTGGGCTTCGTTCTTTGGGCTATTGGGCCATCCGATTTGGGGATTCTCCAATTGGGCTTCATTCCTTGGGCCGTTCGATTTGGGCTGAATTTTTATGTGTCAACAATTACCCCCCAATATGGCAGAATTAATATCAATTATTAAATTTTGCCATATTCATTTTGTGTGTTCCAGCAATATTTGAAATTCCCAAGAATTTCAATCATTGTTTTCTTCCATAGCTTGAAAAGGTACGACGTTTTGCAAACCTTAAAACCCAAATACGCAATTTCACTGCACCATTAAATCACGCCTTACTTTTTTGCGTTTCTCTTCCACAATTTACTGTTCATCTCTTTGCTTCCCTACTATGTAACTCTGAAAACACTCCGTTTCATCCCTAATGGCTACTTCACAATCTCAATCCTGCGATTCCTTTAGTTTTGATGACTTTCAGAAACTTCTTAATCGTCCATACATAACTTCGAACTTTCTCACGCCCGCTAATGTCGAACTCAATGAGTTCTACCTAGGCCCTTTCTTCAACAATGTAGAGGCAGTCGAACAAGTTGCGGTGGGTCAGCTGTTTTCTTATACTTAAGGCCCTACATTTCTAAACTCTCTGTCGCTGGGGCCACTTCGCGAAAGAGGTATTCGCACTTAGTCCAAATCTGACGTAGTTTTTTGTAGGTGGCATGCTCGCCTTGTGGACCATGGTCCTACTAAGACACTTTTTGATAATGTTAGGATTTCTGATTTATTAGAAATCTCTCTTCAACCGCCTACTTTTGATTCAACACTTTTTTCGATTGCTTTGGGTTTTTGGTCTTCTGAGTATAATACCTTTATTTTTCCTCTTGGCCCCATGTCTATTACTTTAAGGGATGTTGGTGCCCTAGTGAATCTGCCACCTTTGGGCGATACCATTTTTCCTGGTATCTTAGTTTCTGGTGGCGCCCCAAAATTTGGTAAGAACTACACCGAATTTTATTCAAGCCTGCAAACCCTTCATAACCATTTGAATGCTGAGCCTTCCCATACTGAGCGAGTGGCCTTTCTTCTAGTTTGGCTTTGTAAATATGTTCTGTGTGTGCCAAGCATAAAGCCCTCTTTGAGCTATCTACCCATAGTGCACGAGTTGGCGCGTGGTAGGTCTTTGAATTTATGTTCTTTCTTTTTGGCTACCCTCTATAGAGGCATGGCTTCTCTTCAAACTCAATTGAAGAATGGTGCATCTCCCACTGGCAGTGGACCTCTTTGGTTCACTCAAATGTGGTTGAGATCCTATTTTCCATTGCTTGGTACTCCATCAATTTCTCGTCCTTCTGCTAGCTGTTATGGGCTAGCCATTGAGCCCCTGGCCCCTGTAAATATGTCTAGAAAGGACATTTTTTCATTCTTTTATTCTTTGAATTCAATCCCTTCCTTCTTTCCTTTTCCTCCCTTTTTGACTCCAGATTATGTGCATCCTCCTTCCACTATAGACAGCGCGAGCACCTCTCTGCACATTTGGATCCAGTTTTTAACCGGGAGGGAGTTATTTCGTGACATTTTGACTGGCACCAATGCCAAAGCAGGGGTAGAAATATATGCTCCCCAATTTTTTGCTCGCCAACTTGGTTTCGGCCGAACCTGGCCTGTTCCTCCTTGCTATTCAAGGAGTTTGATAGACCGCTTCCACATTATTAATAAGGCGGACGCAGAGGTTATAAATGCTCGCAATCTTCTTTTGACGAGCCATTTTTCATTAGCCCCTTTTAATTCTAGCCATGCTATCCATCCCCTTTTTGAACAACTTTGGCCGTCAGTGAAGCGCAGATTGTTTGCGACTGATGCCAATCGTGCCTTTCATTCGCTTGACCGGTCAAGTATTTCTTCCCCTCCTTCTGTTTTGGTCGCCCCTTTGTCCATCCGGAGTCCTCCTCCTCGTCGCTCTAAACATCCTGCTCGTCCATCTTCTTCTATCCCTGCCAAGCCTACTGCAGCCAAAAGTGTCCCGAACCGCAAACGGCCAGCCTCAGCATCTCCCATTCTGGAAGATGATGTTGATGATGATGATGATACCCCTCTTATCATCAGGAAGAAGGTAATTAAATTGGTTTACTTATAAGTGCACTTTTCCATGCTTGAAACATTTCTGTGTGCTGATGGTTTATTTGGACTTCTCAGAAAAGTTCAGTCTCTCCTTTGAAGGCTTTGGTGTCAGCAACTCCTGCTCCATCATTCTCCACCGAGGCTGCTTCATCCAAACCAGCTGAAGAAAGGGCTACTCCTAAAGAGACATCTGTAGTCCCGGAATCCTCATCACAACCAATGGATGAGCCACCTTCTTCCCAGGGCGTCGACCCTCCAAACGTCGAAGCAGAAGGTAATTCAGTTTTTGATGTTCTACCTTTGCTTGTGCTAATAGTTTCTGACTTGTTGCTTTTGAATTCTGCAGATGTTCCTATGAGTCTGCCCGTTGTGGCAACATCTTTTCGCTTAGACAAGGGGAAGTCCTCACGAATGGTGGAGCCACAAGTGGCAGATTTGGCTGGGGACATACCATCTTCTAGGATTATTGATGAGGTAATCTTTGCTTCACTTTTACTTTCATCTTGTTTGTTGTGACGAGAATCTTCAATACTGGCAGTTTTCTTTACAGGATGCTAATAAGATCGTGCGTTCCATCCAAGACTTGTTCGCTTCCTGGGGGCAAGTCAAGACATCTCACCCTACTTCAGCAGGTCCTCCTGCTACTTCTTCAGAGGAAGATATGCAATTCCTCAAGCAGTCGATATTCGAGTACATGTCCTTCATGGATATGGACATTGGTAGGGCTAATGCTACTAGACATAAGGATAAACTTGAGCATTTGAGTACGAAGTTGGAGCAAGCACTGACACTTCCGTCGCTCAATCTTTCTGCTAATTTTAAAGCGACGTTAAAGGTTATCCATTCCGAGATCCTCTCCTTGCTAGCCAAGAACGCTGAACTGAAGGCCAAAAGTACTCAATATCTCCGCACCGTATCTGAAAAGGAGTCTTTGCTTCTGGAGATCAACAAAGCTGAGGACGAGTTGAAAGAAATCTCTTCCGAAGTCATGATTGAAGACTCTTTGATGGTTAGTTTGGCTGCTCAGATGAAGGAACTTCAAGCCAAAATGGACGACTGCAAGGCGAGAATGGCTGCTAAAAAGCGTAACGCCTCCCAGAGAATTGAGCGAACTAAGTCTTTGGTCGAGCAGTACAAGAAGTTGGAAGTTGATGATGATGTCGTGACCAAATTGAACATCACTTCCTCTCAGCAGAACGAGGATTGGGAAAAGCTTAGGGAACGAATTCGTTCAGTATGGGGTGGATTGTAATTAAAACATATGATGCCTTAACTTTTCTTTTGTAATTTCGCATTTGACTTCCCCCCCCTTTTTTTTGTAACCTTGTTCACCATTAATGAACATATACGTTAGCTTCTTGTGCATTTATTTGACGTTTATTTTTTAATCGCCAATTCTTCAAGCATTTAACTGCTTTGTGCTAAAAATCTTGCACATTTTCTCTTGATATTTCCACATTTTTTCCCAAGACTTTGGGCAATTTAATTCCATTTACTAGGTAGAATGTGGCTGTTCATATTCTGTCTCTTCATCTCCACCCCCCTATAAATGTACGTATACTTTGCATTTTCCGTCTTCCATCTTCATCTTCATCTTCTTCTTCGAAACGAACTTGCTGCCATTGTTTGGCATTCTGATAATCAGTCCAAAACCTTCGTCTTCTATAAAAATGGATTTTTTGGTCCGTCCATTTTACTATTTGCCTTGATGCCACTTTTGGTATGGAAGATATAGGAAATATTTTTTAG